CCCATCTCTAAGTGAAGATCTTGAAAATGCCAATTAAAAGTAACTCCTTTGATTTTGGAGCTGGAGATTTGATGAAAGTTTTTATGTTCTGCTAAAAATTGGGCCAAGATATAAGCAACTTTTTCACTTCAGCTCAAAAGAAATTCTTCTTTTTTATCACTGGAAAATAAGAATAACAAGAATATAATATAGATCCAAAGCATAAATTATTAAAGTTTTTACAATTTTTAATGTAACTGTTTATCCAAGGTGAAATAAAAGAAAATTAAGTTTTCTGTGAATGTTCACATTAATATTTTTTCTATTCGTTGTGTATATCAATGTCCCTCAATTCCTCAACTGTCATTTCTCCGACAAGCCATTCATTTTATTAGGTGCAGTTATATTTTGCATATAACGCCATGTTACACCAACTGCAATGTAACCCGTGAGCTATCACTACAAGAATTTTATTTGTTCTAGCTATCCGACATTGCATAACCGTAAATTCATTTTGCGCAGAATCAAGGGTCCTCGTTCCCCTTTGAAAAATACCGGCATTACTGATGACATATAATAATGGATTAATAACAATGTAAAGACAATACAGGACCACTTTTTAGAAATTATTCTGTCGTTGCGGTCAATTTTTTCTTAATAATCGTTATAACGCTGAAACACAAAAACACTTATTGAATAATTTAACGTATTTACGTTAAATTAAAGGTTTTTGAAACATCGGCTTTCAAGACAAAAGTGGTAAATATTTGCTCAAATCGTTTGTATATCATATAAACTATTCTCTTCTAGTGTATATGTTATACGTCAAATTAAAATACGCGTCAAATCAAAATTAAAATGTCGCTAATACCTACCCTTACCCTAAATAGAGCTTCACCCTAACCCTAATGAAACTTTGTATTGAAATTTTGATCTGACACAAATTTCAATTTAACGTACATGTACTAAGAAACCTCCTCAAAAAAATCATTATAATCATTCTGAAATTATCCAATTGTTCGATTGGAAATCGATTCCGTTCCGAACATTTACTGGATGTTACATGTTTTTTATAGAAAATTACTCATGCAAAAATTCTTATTTTTACATCTTGTAATGACTGTTCGGAAAATCGACCTCATTCTGAACAATTTTAGAATAAACATTTTTATAAGGCTCTAATATACCCTGTCTGGGCCGAACCATTGCAAATGTGCCTTTAAAGACAATAAGAAAAATTGCATTGAGGAGAGCTAAGATATGTTTGAGCCAAAGTTTAAAAATGCATTTTATGGGGTAATGCATTTGGGGAGGTTTTTCCGTATCTATACTTCGTGAGCCAAAATTAGCAAAGAGGCTTTTTTTGGATTACGGAGAAATCTCCCTAAATGCATCTTATACGAACCAAATTCATGGCAATGTGCATTTAGAGAACAATAATAAAATTACATTCAGGGAGGTTAAGATATGTTTCGGCCAGAGTTTAGAAATGCATTTCTGAAGGTAATGCATTTAGAGAGGGTACATTTAGGGAGATTTTTCTGTAATTGGCAAATTCGTGACAAAATATTATAACCAACATCAGTTAAATAGTTTTGCTTAAATTAAAATAGCAATTTATAGTGTAAATTATATTTTGAAGTAAATATAAATAATTTGACAACTTGCAAATCTTTATTAATATTGCTGTATATGTTGTAAAGTATTAGTAGTGTACAGGTTTTCAAGATTAGGTGCAACGTAACATGATCAGGAAGATTCAAAACAAACGTTCGTTCTGCGAAAAATCGCCCATAACTCAAAAATCAGTATAAGAAACCACCTTTTGTGCTCTAACAAAAAGTTTTCGTTGGACAATTTTACTATACAAACTACCCCTCTCTAGATCCTAACCCTGACCCTAACCCTAACCTTAACGAATTTTAAGAATTTTGTCTGCGTCGCCAACCTCGTACACATTTTCGGTATGCAGATTTTGTTAAGTTTTGCGTTTTTTTCTTTTTTCCTCAATTATTGTCACGTCGTTATCTTGTATTTAATTATTGTGTAACATTTTATAATTATATCACTTTTTTGTCTTAGAAATTATTAAATTTGAAAGAAGAAATGGAAAAATGAAAGCACAATTACTGAGATAATATGAATATATATTAACATGTGGTTTCGAACGCAAATGCGACCCTTAGCCCTTTGGCTAAATGATGTTTAAAAAAAAAAAAAAAAAAAGTGTGGCAGTTTATGCTTGTACGAAATTAGGGTCTCCATTTAAATCTTTAAAGCCACATATACTCATTCTACTTTACCCTAAAAAAAAGGCTCCAAAAAAATTTAAATTTCATTATAAAATAAGTGCTGTACAATAAATAACGGAGAGTTCCGAGATATTTTATAAAAACAAAGTTAATAAAGCTTGTAAATGAAATAAATTGTAATAAATTTGGAATCGTTTTTTCATTTTAATAATTTTGCACTAGTTTTTAATTATTTAACTATTTTAGAATATATTTTTTATTCGCTACTCGTTATCATTCAGGTTGGTTATTTGAGAATTTATTATTGTGATTTAATTGTCGCTCAAAGATCTTTTGGTCGACATTACTTACTGCGCACTATAAGCATCTAAACTTTATTTTTTGTTCTACAAAGTTTCAGTATTACGGATCACATTTATTAGTATTTTTTATAAAAAAAATTCAGGATGATAAACGGAATTTTCGTTGTTTACGGACATATACTGTATCAAGAATGTTATACGCAGATTTATGAAATTCCGTCACATTGTTGATTGTCTTTGTCTTGTATGTAGTACAGATGGCATTTAAACTCCGTTTTCCGGTTTCTATTGGTCAAAAAAGTGATCAGATTAATTGCTACCAATAGGAGATGAGGAAGTGTATAGTTAAACTGTGCAGATTGAGGAAACGATCTTTAAATTGATATGCATATAAGTGTGATACGCATATATAGTTTATACAAGCTAATTAAACAATCTGTGATCAATTTTTCGTAATTCTTTATTTCTTTAAAGGTAATCTTTATAACTACAAGAAACACATGTTTCATAATATTAGCAAATAAGTATGTTAGCTGTATATATAATTTTACAATTTAATTTAAAGACGATTTATTAAGAAATCAATATTAACTATGATTTAAAGTAATAGATAAATTTGGTGCATTTAAAATAATAGTTTACACATATATGATTAATTTAACATATCGAGATTTCAAAATTATTTCATTTAAGTACGCTCATTATGTATTGATTTGAATATTTAACACTAACGTTCTTTAATTCTTAAAATGTAAAAATTGGTTTGTTACACAACCAAATCTAGCTTGTTTGAGAAACATAAATATGTAGTAATATATTATTTTAGTCATAAATGGAAAAACTAAAATGAAAATGTTTACTTACGTAGTGAATTGTGTCACATTATTATCCCTATTCAATGATTGTTTTTTTTCGAAATACTAATTATTACGCATAATAATAAATAGTCGATGAATTTAGTTAAACGGCTTTCCAGTTCAAAATTTTTAAAAATTATATTAACGTCCATTTTTCTATTAACGTTCATTTTTCTAGAAACTTAAAACAATCTGGCACTTTATCACAGATTTTTCTGATTCTTCGGGAAGAATTAGAAAACATTCTTTCTTTTCTTCGGTTCCTTCCTTAATATTTTACACTCATTCATCATCAGCTTTAATACATAATGCAATCTAATTACAACAACGCAGGATACTATTGTCAGCCAAATTATCAACAATATTCAAATAATCCCTACCCTCAGTATCCACAACCT